AATTTAAAAAGATATATTTTTGTTTAGTTAATTGCACACAATTTAAATTCCAAATAAAATAAATTTAACGCTGCATAAACAGACGAAGAATGTATTGCACGCCAAATTCACAAAAATGAGATAAACCTAGTTTCACAATTGATAAACTAGGTTTATCGACTGTAAACTATAGTTTACAAACCTTAAACTATAGTTAACGATTTGTTAAGTATAGTTTTCATCTGTAAAACTATATTTAACGGTCGTTAACTATAGTTTACGAATGATAATCTAAGTTTATCTGTCTGGATAAAGCGTTAACAATAGATTTTGTTGATAAACCTAGATTCACGTTTGTAAACTATAGTTTACAGTCGTAAACTATAGTTAAGAGTTGTTAATCATAGTTTCACAAATCGTGAAACTATATTTATCAGATCGTTAACTATAGTTAACTGTTTGTAAACTATAGTTTACAAATCGTGAAACTGTATTTATCAGATAATCTATGTTTTGCAATCGCAAATGATAGTTTTCGGTGTTAAGTATAGTTTACGGTTGTGAAACATAGATGTAAAATATAGATTAACGTTGTTAGCTATGGTTTACTGTCCGTAAATATAGTTTACAACCGATAAACCTAGTTTATCGATTATGAAACTATGATTATCTCATTTTTGTGAATTTGGCGTGCCATAAGAATGGGTTAATATGATACATGTACAGAATGGGCTAACTGAGTGCTTTTCCAATCTATGTATATTTAATCATTGTTATGACATGCTTTACGGTACAGGAAATAAAATCATTAGAATGAAGAAGAGAAGGAAAAAAATAAATTTAGACCTGTTTTTGTATTCCTTTTTTTCTTTTTTGTTTAGAATTCATTTATAAATTACCACATGAGATAAAGATAATCATTAACATAACCCTTTGTATTTGATACTAGCTATATCGATGAGTGGGTATAAATTTGATATTTTGATATATAAAAGATTTTTTCAGTTAGCCTAGTATTTGGGCGTTATAATTCACATCATGGTGCTCGAGGGGCCTTGAGATTCCGGGCGCATTAAATCTAAGAAGAAAACATATGTAGGGACACATTCGCCAAGTACAATGTACATTTTTAAAAAAATATTATTGTGCTTTTTTATGGCATGAATTGAGGCCTATAGCATATTTTAGTACTGTTATTGAATAAAACATGTACAGCCGACGGACACTAAAGTATACTAACGTACAAGTGCATACGATGTACAAACAGCATAAGCAAAAGCGGCATCTTTAACTAAAATTTATTCTTTGTTTTCAAAATATGTTATTTATATTTATAGGTATTTATATAGTTTACTATGTCCAGTGAAGGGACTTGAAAAAAAATCTCATTCTGTGTAAATTAAGCGTCATTAGTATCGAATCAGGAACATTGCGTCGGTAGAATATCTTTATTCGTATGCTAACTTTTGTAAAATTCATATTGATCACAGGTGACAACCAACATTATTTTAATAGTGTAACTAAGATATGTAATGATGAACTTATGTGCGAAAAACAAAAGTGGTTGTTGCTTGTGAAAGGGTCTAATTTCAGCAAAGATTACTCATTTTTCAACATAATTTCAACCATTCGAAGTTAAGTGCGTAATAGTGACGTCATAGTTAAAAATTACGTCATTTTTGTACCTGTAGAATTTAGTTCTTGTCTTCCTTACTTCAATGCATAACATCAACAAACGATATAAAGAAGACTAAAATATCGTATTATTTCGGCAAATTAATTCTAAAACCGTACTTTGTTCTTTTGCCCTGTGATTTTCTACAATAATGAAACTGGTATAAAAGTTGAAAACTCATGCTTTTTAAATTCGATGCAGAAAAATCATACAAGTAATTTTTCTCACATGTGTTTTAAATGCTATTTATGACGTGATAAACATGTGCATTTTCCCGTATTTTCTTAAAAAGTTGCAGAAGACACCAATTTTCAATGGAATTTTCTTTCAGATAACATTGTCCACAGGCATCGCCCACAAAGATCTTGAGATATATGATTTGTTATTGAATTTTGCACAAAATATCAAAAAATTAACGTGGGCGACGGCTGTGGACACTGTTTTCTAAAGGAAAATCACCCTTGAAATGAGCCATTTTGAGGCTTTTTCTTTTGATAATAGAGAAATGCTTCCCATTAATGACGTCACATTTGCAGAATGGTAAACCTTCATGCCATATTCTTTCCTGATTTATCAGAGTCATTTATTAAACTAATGTTTAAGGGGGCCGACTATAGTTTTATTGTGTGAAAACTACAATAGCGAAACTCTTCATTTTTATACCATATATAACTTACATTAACATCAGTGTACATGCAAAGTTTGGAGGAAATCTACCGTCCAGGTATTTTTGAGGGATCGTCTCAAAATACTGGTACATTTACTATAGGATTATATAGGAAAATGCCAATTTTTAGCACTTTAAAGCAAATTATACAAATACTACAATAGATATTTTGTTCAAACTATAATATTTGATGAGTAATACTATATTATACAATATTTACATTTGCAAATGTTTTCCTTTATATAACACTACTGAAAGGAATGCGTATCTATAACTGTATAAATACAGGTATGGGGTCAAGAGGTCATAGATGTGCGTTTGGATAATCGTTTGACGTAATTTCTCAGTGACGTCATAAAGGGTTGACGCGCGATCAGTGGATTACAATAATTGTCGTTTGGTTTGAAAAATAATGCATTTCACACGTTAAAAGTCATAATCAGACAAATATAAAGTATGAATAAGTCACAAATGTAAATATAAGTAATAAAGTATCATTTTAAAACATCTATCGGGCTATAAATACGGGTTGGTAAGAGATTAAATTCATCATAAAAAAATCATATCCCGATAGATGTTTAAAAATGATACCTTATTTCTTAAATATATGTAAGAAACACAAAATTCCACCGTCTTGTTACCAGAGGGGGCATCTCAAATGTAAAAAATTAGCAAATTTTACTATTTTTATAGAGTATTAGAAAATATGACGTACACAATGGATTCACATGAAAACATAATAAAAATATTTGAGATATTCTCAAATTTCTATGTTTTAAATTTCAAGAGCGTATGTTTATTACTTTTTCTTTAATAATATTTTATTTCCCCTTTCTCTAAGAGCTACAGATTATCATAACGTCAAAAACACACTGCAACGACATCAACCTACCTATCAATTGCAAAATCGGCTAAATAATCAGTTATATCAAATTGTAATTACATTTTTATACCTATAACTTCTTAATTTTGTTTAATTTTAATAATTAAGCGAAAAACGTTGCATTAAAACAGTAAATACGCTTCATTTTACTATGATGCGCGAAATATTGCGCAATGGAAACTATAATCGGCCCCCTTAAGCCAGTTTCAAATCTTTTTGATGTCATTACATTTTTAGGGCGCAATAAAGCTAAAACCATACCTTCCTCTTTAGAATTTGGTATATTCTTTGGTCGGTACAGTGACCTTGTCAGCAAATATACTTTTTCTATCATTAAGTCGAACTCTGGCGAATGGTTTTACAAAGCAATTGTTAAATCATGATTCATACACATAATTTTTGAGGAATTTTTCCGTTTCCACGATCAAGAGTAGCACATGGCGGATGTGACTGATCGAAGAGGATGGTTACTCCTTTTTGGCACCTTATCCCATCTCCGTCTGTGTCCATATTGCATTATTCCAATGAACTTTTAAGTCTGATTACTGTTTGTTATCTCCACGTTTTATTACTGTAAATAAATTGGCGTTTTCAGACCCATTTTCATGATTTTTCTGTTAAATCTAAGTGGTAATTACTGTAGATTTGGATTATCTCCCTTTACAAAATTGGTTTTATTTCTCATCTTGATATCTTGTGTCTGCTAAAAATTATATGTCATTATTAATAATACTTTTGAGAATTTCAAACAAATTATTAAACGTCACAAAGGTGGCAACACACGACAAACTGTTTTACAGACTTTTTACTCATTGAAGGAGGATAAGATATGGTGTTCTAGCTTTGAAAGGATTATGGAAAGAAATTAACCAGTTGATGGGTAACCGGGGTATCAAAATACTTATTGCATTAAAATAAATGTATAATATTTAGCGTGTACGATATATATAGCGGACAATTTTTTTTAACAATTTAGCGTAGATTTGATTTAGCGCATTTCTTGATGTTCTTATTCATGTATCAATGTTCAAGACATTTAGCGATGTACTTGAATTAGCGGAAGTACTTTCCGCTAATTCCGCTAAAAAGAATACACCGCCAAATGTAATATGTTCACAATTATTTGAGGGAAATAAACAATTTACATGTAAAAATATTAATCTGAAATGATCTTATAATAAGTAGCTGATGGTCGAAATAAGAAGAAGCAGTGAAATTGGTAGACTACAATCATTAAGTTTTTACTTCTTCTAGATATTTTCTTTTTTTTTGTGCGGGAATACTGAAAACATATGCAACTAATTAGTTTATGAACGAACAACAAACTTCTTTTCCTAAACATACACATACAAACTGGTTTTCATGGTTGATTGCAAATTTTATTAAATGCTTGTGTTTGTATATCAATTTGTTTTGGACTACATGCAGCAAAATATATACAGTATACCTACAAGTACCCTGGTATATCTATTGTAATTAAAATTGGTTGATGATATAGAAAAAAAAACTTGGTGTAAAAATTACAGGAACATGCAAGAAACATGGTAAGCTATCATTCGTGTCGTGTTTGAAAATTTTTCCAGTCGCCGCGAGATGAAAGCAATGTTCAATAGCCGAAGTAAATTTCAAAAATCACAAAATCTGAGATTAGAATGAAAAGCAATTTCTTTACATATCATTAAATATTTAATAAAACTACATATGAATTAGTACCTAGTTAACAGGCATTAGTAACATAAGAGTATTGTATTTATAATTAATGCAACTAGAATAAAAAAAAATAATTAAACGCTTACCTGGCACAATAGGTTCTACATAGAGATAACATTTTGCATACAAAAAGATTGAAAACATAATCAAAATAGAATTGAAGTACATCATTTTAAAACGCAACAACTTCTTCTAGCCAAATAACATTGTTTTCCTCATATTTATCATATTTTTCCTCAATCAAAATGCATCTGTAACTATTGGGTGAAGAAATAATCGATGTAGAATACATGCCAGGTAGGTCGACGGACTTTATATTATACTTTTTGACTGCTTAAATAAGCTGAATTTAACTTGCTGGCATTGTGCAATACATGGTTATAAAATATATCAATGTTAATTGCACAGATAAATTGTATATTAATGACATCGAGTTGCAATTGTACAATATACACTGTGGGCCTGACCATTCCCTGAGATAGAAAATAATAAAGCATGAAGAACTACGAACGATAGTATTGTTCTCCCGCCTACCTCTAAGTCAATTTTCAAAAGTTAATATATTCGAATGATTTTCAAAAAATTTATAGATATTTATATGAATTTTCATAAAACGTTACTTATTTGGGAAACCAAAAAGAGATAACTCTATAATTTTGGTAAAACTTGGGTTTTTCACTATAGAAATCAACGGAAAACGGAAAATATTTTAAATACGTCTTTACCCCCGTGAAACACAAATTCCTTTTTACAGGTAATATGGACTGTCATTTAACAAATTTATGCCAAAGCTTTTTGTGTTTCACGGGGGGAACATATGTTTATAGACAAAAAACGAAAAAAATGCCGATTTTTCACCAATTTTAAAGCTATTTACAACTAAATAATTGTATTTTATTAATTCATATATGTTTTATTTATTTACGTAAAACAAAAGAAAAGATATGAGATGCATTTTATAATATTTAAGACTATTTCAAAATATGGTGATTCTTGAAAGTTCGATTTAACTAGAAAATATCGTCTACCCCTCTTTTTTCAAGAGCTGGAATTAATGATAATTTACTATCTAGCGCTGGAACTCTCTACCACTAAGCTACCGCGACCGGTCGACTCATGTTGAAGTATCAGTCCAAATCCAAGGCCAACCAGTGGCATATACAGTAAAATTCGGTTATAACGAAGTCGCCCTTATGAAGAGATTGTATTTTAGATTCAATTTTATTCAATAAAATCACGGCCCTAAGGTGTAGGGTGGTAAAGAAAGGAGAAATTAAATATTTTAGATGAGCATCAATGGCAAAGGCCATACTATTACTCATAGTCCTCTGCGTCTTCGCACACAGAGAGATTTGGTTTGGTACAAACGAACTCTGGCGGAAGTTTGTGGCAAAGGCATGGTTAGTTGTATTAAGTGCCTGTCTCAGAGAAAACCATGCAAATTGAAAAAAATTGTCCAGATGCATTATCTTAGAAAATTTAAAAGTAACCCACACAAATAAAGATTTGGTCCAAATGACCTAAAATATGATTTACATTTTGTCGTAAGTTGTTTCTATTTTTAGTAACGGGGATTATTTGTATTCCTATAAAAAAAGTGTAAAAAGAGCATTGACATCCATTGAAAATGATGCATTTTAAGTGCGTCTTTTAAACATATTTGCTATAATTTTTATTTCAGTCTTACATATGTTATGGTAGTGCAATAGTAGTCAATTATATTCATTAAAAAAATTTACATATATATATTTTGTATTTAGCCACATTATAATAGGGAATATACAAAGAATCTAGATTTTAGCAATAAAGGCTTTTTTTTCCCAAAGTTTGGTTAATCGTATCTTTAAGCGAGGATGATTTTTTTATTTGAATTATACTGTTTTGAATTTAGTCAATATAGAAGAAAAACATATTAAAAAATTGACGTTGGCAAACAACTAGCTATGTATTACAGAAAAAATTCCAATTACAGGTGAATTTATCAATATTAATCTTGAATTAAAACATGCCATTTCATGCTACAAAATGCTACTTAAATGATTAAATGGTATTTTCATGACATATTAAATTTTCAGAAATTGTTTATTAATATAAAAGAAATCTTTTTTTCATTATAGACGCCTTTAATTCTAATATTAATATTTTTTTGCATTTGCCTAGTCTGAGTTAGGTCCCCTTGCGCAACTCTCCTACTTTAAAGGTAAATAATTGCACTGGAAAAATGTCTGTGGGGAAATTAATAATGACACATGAAAGCAGTCAATTTTCTATGGAAAAACTCACAATCTAATGCAAACAAAATGAATAGAAATTCAAAAGGATGTGATTTTCATAAATTTTCCCAGATTCCGTGTCATGAAACAGAGGAATATCTCTGTGTAGTTGATTGTGACAGCTCTGAAAGACATCTAGCATGTTTGAAGTCCTCAGAGTACGGAAGCGTATTAGTGCCACTTGCACACTTTACTTTTTTTAATTTCTACACTTTAATCTGTAAATTTTACACTTTTAAGTGTACATTTTACACTTTAAAGTGTATATTTTACACATTAATCTGTAAATTTTACACATTAATCTGTAAATTTTACACTTTAATCTGTTAATTTTACAATTTAATCTGTAAAATTTACACTTTAATCTGTAAATTTTACACTTTAATCCGTAAATTTTACACTTTCATCCGTAAAATTTACACTTTAATCTATAAATTTTACACTTTAATCTGTAAATTTTACACTTTAATCCGTAAATTTTACACTTTAATCTGTAAATTTTACACTTTAATCTGTAAATTTTACACTTTAATCTGTAAATTTTACACTTTAATCTGTAAATTTTACACTTTAAAGTGTTAATTTTACACTTTAAACTGTAAAATTTACACTTTAATCTGTAAATTTTACACTTTAAACTGTAAAATTTACACTACACATTAAACTGTAAAATTTACACTTTAACCTGTAAATTTTACACTTTAAAGTGTAAATTTTACACATTAATCTGTAAATTTTACACTTTAATCTGTAAATTTTACACTTTATTTGTTTATTCACATAGTCAGTTTAGCATCTTCACACATCCTCAGTAAACACATTTTTATGCCAACAGACCATGTTTCGTGCATGATAAAATTCAATTCTGATGTTTTATTTTAAAGTAAAACTTTTCTTTGAATATAAAATGAACAGCATATCAAACATACGTGAACATATTCCCGATCACAGGTGCTTGAGGACCCCCCCCCCCCCCAATATAGATTCTAGGGCCTGTTAAACTTTTTTTCAAATAAATAATATATGGATGAAACAATTGTGATATAATCTATCCTATCAATTCAGAAACTTTGCCTAAACTAACATTTTATAAAAATTTCTATACGATATTTTCTATTTCGATAAGCTCTATACCAACAAATCGAAAAATTACATAAAGCAAACATTCTATGAAATCTATCCTACATTCTATATATAAAAATCAATTTATAAATACGAAGTGGGATAGAAATTAAGTGTAAATTTTACAGATTAAAGTGTAAATTTTACAGATTAAAGTGTAAATTTTACAGATTAAAAGATTAAAGTGTAAATTTTGTAAACAGATTAAAGTGTAAATTTTACAGATTAATGTGTAAAATTTACACTTTAAAGTGTAAAATTTACACTTTAAAGTGTAAAATTTACAGATTAAAGTGTAAAAATTACAGATTAAATGTAAAAAGATTAATGTGTAAAATTTAATTTTAGTGTAAAATTACATAAAGTGTAAATTTTACAAATTAAAGTGTAAAATTTACAGATTAAAGTGTAAATTTTACAGATTAAAGTGTAAAATTTACAGATTAAAGTGTAAAATTTACAGATTAAAGTGTAGAAATTAAAAAAAAGTAAAGTGTGCAAGTGGCACTAATACGCTTCCGTATTAGAGTGTATTAAAGGAAAACCTTTTCATCTTTTGACTGTCCGGAATCTTTGTTAATTTTATATAGAAGCGGCATATTCACAATAGATAAAAACTTGTTAAACCTCGGTATTTGTGAAGCACATCGTGCACATTTTGGTTTGAACTGGAGACGCGGAAGGGTACGTTGTACATATCCAGACCATGATCACAAAAGTAGCAGGGCAAAGTCAGACCGTGGTGCCACTCCTTCTCTTTGCAAAGAATTATGGCTCAAGACCAGACAGATCATACCAGTAGGATCAGGTAAAACAGTCAAACTTCCAGGGCTGAAACAATATGCTTCCTCAACGATACGATACATACATGACTTTTTTTTTGTATATCGCCTTATGAAACGAAACTTTCCCCGTTTCTATTTTTCTCCCTCGTGTATGTATGTCAGATTATTAAAATGAGTTGAACCACATCTATTTCAAGGAGTAAACAAATCCGATTATTTAAAAAGAAATGCATCATAATTCGAGATAGTGAATGAAATATCAACATTATGTGCATGATCAAGAATGGATCAATTATATTGAACAGTATCAATATTTCAGTGAATTGTCAGCCATACTTCATATATTAACTTTTTTTCAAAACGCATGAATATCATAGGCGTCGGAACCGGGGGGGGGGGGGGGATAAGTGGTAGTGTATGTCGGCAAAATGGTATTGAGTGAAAGAATTTCGATCCTACACCCCTCAAGTTTTTTTCTCTTTCAATTAGCCTCCCCCCCCAACTTTCAATTTGCTTCTGACGCCAATGAATCTATATATTGTAGTATGTAATTTGTTTACTAGTATGTAACATGCCAAGTATATGGCATGCTGGAAAACTATAACTTGTTTGATAGGTAGTTTAAAAAGAATACTCTGACATACATAGCTTAGTAACTTATTTTTCTAGATTGTAAGAACATACTTATTATCAAAAGCAATTTGTTTTCAGAAATGTAAACAATGTTCCACACAGCACCGAAGGAATATTTCAAGTCAGCTAAATTTAACCTTTGAAGAAGAATTAGGTAATTGATTTTTTTTATGGAGTTATTTCTTTTTAACTCTGCTGGTCAGATACCAGAAAAGCTTGTGCCATTGAAAGGTATCCATTGTCTGTCAGTCTGTCTGTTTGTAAAAAATCAAAATGCTACCCTCCTACAGTTTTGGTCAACTTTAAATAATATTTTGTAAATAGTA